TCTCTCTCTCTCTCTCTCTCTCTCTCTCTCTCTCTCTCTCTCCCCTTTGAAAAAAAATAGTTGTCTATCAAATACATTATCAAAGCAACTCCTACCTCTCTTGGGCTCTATGCTACTATTCTTGCTCCATTTGGACATGATCACCAAAACAATATTTTAAAACATAATTATGTAAGGTTAGTCTCTTACTGAAAACTTCCTAATGATTTCCCACTGCATTTGGGATAAATGCAAACTCTTTAAAGTGGTGTCTAAAACATCCCAAAGCCCTATCTATTCTTGTAATCTCAGTTTATACCATTGTACCTGAATTCACTGTTTCTGCAAAATGGGCTTCTCTGTATTCCTTAGGGTACCTGGCTCTTTCCTGCCAAGGATTTTCCTTTATGCTTGTTCCATTTATCTTTCTGTCTGATCAACTCTCAGGCACCCTTCTAATCTCACCTTAATGTCACCTCTCTTACCATTCATTTGAATGCAAGTTGCCACCATATTCTCTTCAACTCTCCACTCAGATATCTGTCATCTATTTTGATCATCTTACTGAAAATTGCAACCTCCTGTCTCCAAGTCCATAACCTCTCCTCTTCTTTTTCTCGTCAGAGGTCACCAATTTCTAGATTACCTTAAAGAGTACCTATTTGGTATATTTAATGTTTATTTTGGAATCTAAGCTCCAGGAGGGCACAGATTTTTGTCTGGTTCACTGCTGCATCCCCAGAGCCTTGTCCAATGCCTGGCACATATAAATGCCTGATAGTTCTTTCATAGTACTTTCTTGTGTGCTGACTTAATGACTCATTGAAAGTATCTCCCTCTCCAGTCTATCAACTCTTTGAACAAGATTCCTATATCTGTTTTGTTCACTGGGCAATCAGTGACTAGTGCAGTTCGTGGAACATAAAGGGCAAGCAATAAAAAAATTGTTGCATAAATAAAATCACTAAACTATATGAGAAGCTGGTCTGGGCCAGTCCTTAACATTTGCCATTTTATTATACTATGTTTAAAGATGGGACAGTGTCCTTACAAATTGACCCAGGACTGTTTTCCTGTCCATAATGTTCAGAATTACTAAAAATACTAGGATAATAACCCTTGAATTCTTGCAATACCAAATATTTATTGAATGTTCACTATGACCCAACTCCCAGGTAGGTCCTGGTGGTAAAATGATGAAAAGCAGACCCACTATCCCAAGTCACCAGGGAACTTACATTCTGGGAGGGCAATACACAAGAAAACAAATAGATTTAAAGATATATATGTATATTGAGTATGTAGTGTGCCCTTCTTGGTCAATTCTGGGTTCTCATCTTCCTTGGCCCACCAGCAGGATTTGCCACAGTGATCATTGAAAACTTTCTCTCCCTTGCTAGAAGTATGCCATACACATTCTGGTTTTCCTCCTACCTCCTAGGCCACTCACTGCTGGCTTCTTTACAATCCTACTTGTCAGGGTAGGAATATCCCAGGGCTCAGTGTTTCACTCTCCTCTTCTGCATGTAGATTGCCTCCCTTAGCTATTCCATCAGGTGTTTACAATTGAATATCAATAATAAGTTGATAAATCCCAAATGTGTATCTCCTCTGACTTCCAAATTCAAAAGTCCATCTACCTAATAATAGCTCTGCCTGAATGTTGAGTTACATCTCAATGTGTCTAAACTTAAATTCCTTCATCTACCTCCCTTCTACCTGAAACCTGCACCTTCCACAATCACAATCCCACCCCACTTCCTTCACACTTGTGATTCTCTTTGTGTGGACTACTCTTTGCACAAAAATCTTCATCAACTGCTCCCATATGTCCTCATTTTTCTAAAAAGTCACTTTTACTGACTTTCCCTAACCATGGGCCAAGTCATCCCATTTTAAGTTGCAATACGTATCCAATATCCTCCATCCCCATTCCCTGCTCTATTTTTCTCTCTAGCATTTATCTCCTAATAAAATGCATTTACAGTAGTTCTCCTTATCCTCAGGGAATACATCCAAAGACACCCGTGTGTGCATGAAACCACACATAATATGAAGTTCTATATTTGTGATAGTTTTTTCTTATGCATACATAGCCATGATAGTTTTACTTATAAATTGGGCACAGTAAGAGATTAAAATAAGCTTGGCGAGGTGATGCACACCTGTAATTCCAGTACCCCAGGAGGCTGAGGTAGGAGGATCACGAGTTCAAAGCCAGCTTCAGCAAAAGTGAAGTTCTAGGCAACTCAGTGAGACCCTTTTCCTAAAATAAAAATAAAAAATAGGTCCGGGGATATGGCTCAGTGGTCAAGTGCCCCTGAGTTCAATCTCCAGTACCAAAAAAAGAGAGAGAGAGATGAAAATAATAACTAATAATAAAACAATTACAATATACTATATCAAAGTTATATGACTGTGCTTACTCTCAAAATGTCTTATTGTAGTGTAGATATTAATAACCTCATCATACAATTATTTTCTTTCCTCATTGAGAACTTTTACCTTCTCACTTAAAGAAAGCACTTTATGGCTCTCTCTGGCATATCTGAATTGTCAGCATTTCAACTTTGGGACCATTATTAAGTAAAATAAGGGTTACTTGAATGCAAGTACTGTGATACCACAGCAGTTGATCTGATAATCTAGACTGCTACTAACTAATGGGCAGGTGGTTGCTACGGTATGGATATTACTGAATAAATGGATGAATCACATCCCAGTTGGTACAGAGCAGATGGTGTGATATTTCATCACAGTATTCCTGAAGATGTGCATTTAAAATGTATACATTGTTTATTTCTAGAATTTTCCATTTAATATTTTCAGGTAATGGTTGACGACTGAAACTACAAAGCAAAACCATATATCAGGGAGACTAATGTACTTCCACATTTTTTAGTGGATAGCTGTACTCAAAAAAATATGTGCTCCATGAGGTAAGGGATTTTTATATCATGTTAACTTGATGTTTTCCTAGTTTCTAGAAAGGCATCTGATAGGTGCTCAATAAATAGTTAATTAGATGCATAAATGAATAATAAACATATTCTTTATATTAAATAAATAAACTATATTAATTAAATAAACTATTTCTTTATATTAAATGCATGAACAAAAAAATGCAAGTTAAACCATTCACTATTCTGGTAGTTGCTACTTGTCTACATCTGTGACTGTTCTCTTTGCAATGTATTTGGCCAAGAAAGATGGTAACATAAACAGGAAAGAATCTTAAAAACAGGTAGTTTTCAGTTCACAGAAATAACACGGTGATAGAATCCAAGAAGAAAAAAAAAGGCAAACAGATGTGCAGATGAGTCACAAAGTCTACGAAAAAAAGTCTCTGTGATTCTAATAGTAACATAAAAAGGGAATAAAAATGCATGTGTTCCCAGGATGACTGACTTCGTGCTTCATAATATTAAGAACTTCTTTGAGAACCTAAGCCACCTCAAAGTTATTCCTTTATCTTTGTATACAAAATTGTTCACCCACTAAATCAAAAGTTGTGACACCCCTGAGTCCAAGGAAAAAAGTATTAGCCTAGAGGAGCCCATCAAGGGACACTCAGAAACAGAACAAATGGTGAGTTAGGAAACATTTCCGTGTTGATTTTTTATTTTGACCTGAGCAGGAAGCCAACATACAGGTAACCAAGATTTCAGGTTGTCATAGCGACGAATCTCCACTTCTCCGACTTTGTTTCTCTGTCCTGGTCAGGCCCGGCGTCCACCTCGCTGACCGGGCTCTAGGGGCCACCACCTGCCTTCAAGGGCATCACCTCCTCCCCAGCGCCCGGCCTCCGCTTACCAACGCCGATGGAATTCGTGCTTCTCTTCCGCCGTCGTCGCTAAAACCTGCTTTTTCTTCATAAAGCCTAACAACTCCCGAATTTCCTTCTCGAAAGAGGCGAGGAGCGGGTTTTTAGCGTCCAACGGCCCATAAAACGCGGCGATGGGCAACGGGTCCTCGGGACTGGCTCGTTGAGGCTGCGGGCTCGGGGAGCTCGCCTTCGACTCCCGGGGCGACTCTGAAATTGCAGTCGAAGTCAGGGGTGTGGTCGATGGCAGTTCTTGGGGCGACGTGGATGTGGCAGACGTGCCCGACAGAGGGCTAGAGCTGGTGCCCTGCGCCGCCATATTGACGCGACCCCGGCCGGCCTGCGGGGTGTACGCACGCGGTTGCCTGGCGACGGTCTCGAGGCCACCAAGCATCCCGCGCGCATTCCGGGAAACACAGCGGCCCCTGGAGGGCAGAGGAGTAAAGAACTGGATCCAGAAAGGAATGATGCTCTGAAGGTTATTTGTCCTGTTGCCCATGGGCACCGCTGTATGAGCTGAGAATAGAAAGAAACTTTGGAACAGAGAGCCAGCGAGTATTACAGCTGAATTTTTACCATCACGAATCCAGACTGTACTTCTTTTTTTCATTTTAACCACTTAATAACAATAGTGGGTGATGGTGAAGCTGCTCATAATGATGACATGACATACATTCGTATGTCAGTCGTTGTTGTTATAAGCATATGAAACACAAACAGTATCACATTTCATTTAACCATCATGACAACTTTGCCATTAAGATTCTGTTAGTACCTCCATTCCACAGTTTAGGAAATCAAAGATTAGGAAGGTTAAATTATTTGACCAAGGTCAGAGGAAAACCATAACGTCAGAAACCAGGTCCTAATCTTGTGACTCCAAAGTCTGTGCTAATTGATCCATTCTCTTCCCTTTACATCTAAAACTGTGGAAATGATGATTTGCCTTTAATAATAATTTATTTATTATCATTTCACCCTTGTCCTAATTATCACTATATTGTAAATTAATATATATTTTATACAACTTAACTATTTAACAAATTTATACTAATGATCTGAAGTGATAACTCTCAAAATACTTTTGCATTGTATGAAGTGATCTTAGAAAACTTTCACTTTTAGTGGGGAAACTACAGACCTCAGGGTAAATAATTGGTGGCAAAGGAAGTTCTTCTTTCCCCACATATTATGGGCAACAGTGACAGTCAAATTTTAAAGTTTCAATTTCAACTAATAGGGAAACTGCTTTCCTTATAAGTTATGCAATGCCAAAAATTATATTATAGAGGAATCACAATTATTTGGTAGCTTGGGGGGGAGGGGGAAGCAGGCATTTAACACTAAAAGTTGTTATCAGTTCTTTCACACTTAGAAATAAAGAAAAACAGTGACCCTAACACCCTGGGAGCCTGATTTCCCATTCAAGATTAAGAAGCTTATTAGACCACAGCCTGATTTCTTCCAGCTCTGACCTAATTTCTTGCAAGCTCTGTGGGCCTGTACTAATTTGTAAGACTAGCATGATATGTCATGTGTACTGTACCCTAATATTCTTTGAAGTAAGATTACAGTGATTTTGCTCTTTGAGGCAGGTAATAATTATGGCCAGAGAACCTTCGTGGCAAGCAGTGAAATGCAAGAATACCTCATTATTAGAGTCTGTTTCTCCAGTCAAGGTGTAGATATCATCCTTTGATTGGCAAAGATTTTACTCTGTCTCTAGATGAGCAGTAAAAATTTTAAGACTTTAAACAACTTATGCTTAGGGAGAAAATCATCTTTGGGACCTTTAAAAAACAAATGATAGACTTTAAAAAAATCAACTTGGTAAATTCTCTTATTTCTCATATTTCCCTTGTTTTTACAGAGCATACTTGTCCTCTTAAGATCAAAAGCTGGTGTAATTTGCCACTGATAACTAACGCTCATATTGATGAAAGTGAAACAGCAAGGTTCAATTAAATTAAAGTGGTCAGAGAGTAGAAAATAAAATAAATAAATAAAAATCAGATAAAGTAGGATTCCCTACCCCACCCCATCTGACTGATCTCACAAATAACCTTTCTCATAATGCAAAACATTTCAAAGTCACTGAAAAAAGAAAATGTAACAAATTAAATTCAGATACTTGAACTATGAAACATTGCATCTTAGTCATCTTTCTCCTGGGGCATACTTCAGTCAACAATGCTTAACTTGCAGTAGTTTTTGGAAGCTTGTCTGAATATTTAAATGGGTCTTGTATTCTGAATCATCATCATGGTAAGATGGAAGTCTCCATTTTGTTCAGTTTAAATTATATTTGAGGCATTTTAAAAACATTTTAGAGATGTTATCTTTCTTATAATGAGATGCAACCATTATAATATCTTTACTGTTTCCTTGTCAGTTTGCTTTATTCTTTTCACAGTAATGAAAGAATGGAGCTATGCAACCACCGTGTCTGACAGGGCTAAGTAATGTAAATAGCTTCCTTATAAATAATGTAAATTGCTGTTTCTTATAATTAGTGTCTTTGCAAGCTGCAGGGATCCTTTTTGCCCATTCAAAATTCTTTTTCATTTAAAGTTACACTTAGAGAAATAATAAATACTTTTTATTAGTAGTTCAGTTGTTAATCACTTAGGCTATCTCAAATAGATATATATGGTCTTTTTCTTAAAAAAAAAAAAAAGCTCAAAAATCTCCTTTTTCCACCTCTTAATATGTAGGCTTTCAAAACTTTTTTCATTCATTCATTTAACTACAACTATTTCTTTAGTGTGTCCATACAATGCATAGATGAGCCCACACATTCCCTACAAGAAGCAAATGACACATACAACAACCAACCATGATTTGAAGGCATGCTATATATGTGCTGTGATAAAGGTTTAAAATATTATGGAAGTCTCAAGATGAAGCTTGTTAACTGGACAGAGAACAAAGGATTATAGAGGAGACCATGTTTTAGCCCTGCACTGTAACTGCCCCTCAGTAACAGAAAGACCCTGACAACAGGGACTTGCCTATGACTATGGTAACCTAGCACCCAAGCCCAGTGCCTGGCACAGAGTACTACCAAATAAATCTTTGTCGGAATGAGTGAATGAAATTTTTTTTAAAATGAAGAGCATTCATCAAGATATCTCTGTCTGAGAGAAAAGCCTGAGCAAGATACAAAATCATAAACATTTACAGCAAATTTAAGTAGTCTTGTGTGGTGAGCCACTGATTGAAATACATCAAGAGGCACAAGATGAGGTAGAAAAAGAAATATGATCAAACACAGTGGGTAGTTGGGAGACATGCTCAAAACTGTGACTTGATTTTGTATTCAGTGGAGCTCCTTGGTTAGAAAAACATACAGGTAGTTCCCAACCTATGAAGGTTTGACTTAACAATTTTTCAACTTTACAATGTTGGGAAAGCATACCCATTCAACCATTTCTGTTTCCTACTTTCAATACAGTATTCAGTAAATTACATGAGATACTCAACACCTTATTAGAAAATGGACTTTGCACTGGATGACTTTGCCCAACTACAGGCTAATGTTTAGCACTCTGCACACATTTAAGACAGGCTAGGCTAAACTGTGATGTTTGGTAGATTAGGTATATTAAATGCATTTTTAACTTGTGATTTTTTAACATACAATGGGTTTATCAAGATATAACTCCATCAGAAGTTAAGGTGGATATAACTCCATCAGAAGTATAAGGTGTAAATTAAAAGCCCAAATTTGGGGGCCAAAAGGTATAATTTGTATCTTTAGTTCTTCAAAGTTACTTAAATTCACTATGCCTTGTTTTCTTCATCTATAAAATGGGGGGTGAAATAATAGTACTTTCTACCTCATATTTCTATGTTGTTTAGAATCAAATGAGTTAAGATGTGTAAAACCCATAAAACATTGCCTGGCACATTGGAAGTGCTATGTAACGTTTGCTAGTTATGATTATTTACTTGGGAACCATTGGAAGTTCCTAAGCAAAGAAATACAATTAATATTTTATATATTTTAGAAAGGAAATTATGGCAAAATGAAAGATAGATTGGAATGATGAAGATTATATTCCATCTCAGCTACACAGATCATTACAATAATTATATACAATTAACAGGCAGAAGTAGCCAACTAAAACCATTATAAAAACTGAGGTGGAATCAGTAGGAAGCCAAATCCTAATCAATAAACCAAAGGGAAAGTTAGAGAATAATAGGTAATTTTATATATAAAATTTTATATATAAAATTACCTATTACCTATTACCTATACATATATGCACATACATATATAAAACATACATATATACATAAAATTTTATACATACATATATATGACATAACATTGCACATAATTATAAAAATAATAAAAGAAATTCTAACAGAATGTTTCAGTGGTTCTGAAGAAGAGGCTTCCTTAAAACCTACAAAAGTAAAAGATGTAAAGGGAAATACTGATTAATATACTGAGATAAACTCTTACAAGGATAAAAGATAATACAAGTGGAATAACAGGCCACACATTAAGAAAAGATATTTGTGCCAGGCATGGTGATGCATGCCTATAATCGCTGTAATCAGGTGGCTAAGGCAGGAGGATCACAAGTTTAAAGGCAGCCTTAGTTACTTAGTGAGTCCCTAAGCAACTTAGCGAGATCCTGTCTCAAAATAAAAATTAAAAATGGATAGGGATGTGGCTCAATGGGTAAGCACTGATGAGTTCAAACACTACCACCTCTACCAAATATATATGCATATATATATATATAGAGAGAGAGAGAGAGAGAGAGAGAGAGAGAGAGAAATGCACAACCTACTGTGTGTGCACTATGTTGACAAATATCAATTCTAAATCTCAATTGATGGAAAGACCAGATTAAGATTTTTCTTGGGTAAATTTAACAGATTTACTTATTACAAGATACCAATGGAAGTCATTGTAATCTGGATACGTAACAAAGAGATCATCAAAGAAGTTCAGGATGTAGCTTCCAAAACCAAAAATCCTCACTAATGATATCTACCTGTGAATGGTGATACCTCTGCATCTTTCAAATCTCTGATGCTTATACAAGTATCTGTGATTCCTCTTGGGTGCCATATGGCTTCTAATTTAACACTTCAGTATGGACAGTTTCAGATTCCTACACTTGGCCTTTTTACCCTAATAGTTCGAATTCCAGGCCTTAAAGATCCAGTGTTACAGGGCTGGGGCTGGGGTTCAGTGGTAAAGCGCTCACCTAGCAAGTGCAAGGCTCTGGGTTCGATCCTCAGCACCACAGAAAAATAAATAAATAAATAAAATAAAGGTATTGTGTCCAACAACTGAAAAAATAAATATTTTTTTTAAAAAATCCAGTATTAAGATTCTGCTAAATATCGTTCCAACTTCAATTAAACTAAACTATGGATAACAGAAGACTACAGTATTCAGGATACACTCCTACACATATTCCCCTCAGCTTCAGTCAATGCCTATTAGTTGAATCCTGCGATTCCTTTGGCATGTGGTCTATTCTCAGAACAGAGCTTGTAATTTCCTGCTCAAACTTGTGCTAAAAAACTGACTTTGCTTTTTACCAGGAGGCAATGCAATATGTTGGGGGCATATTTTCAGGAAAGCAGGCCTCGTCTTGAAA